CTGTTATACAACTCTGTGCCAGAAATTCCGTATCTCTGTCTTCCAGGGCCTATGATTTATCACATATTATAATACAAACTTGCAAGCCTTGCACACACTGGTGTAAGCTTCAGGTAACGTGTGATGGTCCATGGACCAAAGGCAAGCAGATCAAGCGAATCATTTCCATACTCAACACAACCCCTTAGATGCAATGCCCAGCAACAGATTCTCTCAACAACATAACATCCCACCATAAAGCCACTATTTGTTCCATGGTTGTTGTGGGTAAAACTACAAAGGAAGAGGCAAGGAGAGAGTGTGGGAAGCAGAAACGTGATGGGAGGTTAGAACCAGGAGTGATTCTGAAGCACCAGGAAGGGGGTTCCCACTCCTCAGTGCTGCCTTTCCAGATCTCCCTGCTCTGGCCGCAGATTTTAAAGAGCAGCACTGAACGGGAGGCAGGAAGTGCACGGCCTGGATTCTGCTAAAATGCACTCTTGTCTGTAAGTGGCTTCTGGGCAGCTTTTGTCTGGGAATACGCTTCACTCCTAGCCTAACATTCACACCTGAAAGCACCCATAGCTACATACAGCCAGCCCTTCACTAATCCAGCTGCTCAGATTTCCCCCTAAAGCATCCTTCTCCCTCTCAGCATTCTCGTTTCCTTATTTCCATCTCATCAAAAGCCCTGAGACTTCTTTAGACTTTCCCTTAGACACTCTGGGCTTTGTACCTTCTCTTCCCAAACCCAGTGTCCCTGGGAAGCGGATACCCGTGTTGTAGTCCTGAGATGTGCTCACTGCATGGGCAAGACAGACTGACTGTGTATGTGGCTGGATGTGGCAAAACACATTTAAAAGCTTCTGCCCGTGACCCCAATCTACCTTTTGATTTCCCGTCCTTGACAAGCCTTGGTTCTCTGCTGTGCATTTAAGATGTTACTGTGAACTCCCGCTTTGAGCACCTTGTCATCCTGCCTCCTTCCCTCCACTGGCTCCCCCTCTTCTGCCACATTACTGGGTTTCCTTCCTTCACTTCATTTTCCAGCCCATTCCACCCCACCCATCACCTCTCAGTCACTCTGCAGAAATGGCCTCCAGGCTCTGGGGAGCACAGCTGCTCCTCAGCACCCATTTGTCATCATTTCACAGGCTTGGAATAGCCCATCCGTTCCCTGGACGTGAGCTTGGGCCCGGGCCTGGTTTTGTTAGGTCTCCCAATATTCAAGTATCTGCAGTCTATATGTCCACAGAGTTGGAGCACTCTCTCCTATAGATAAACTTATTTCAGTCCTTTACATGATAAATGTTAAATATCAAGGTTTAATACAAGGTTTTCCAGGAGCCCTGCATTAGTCCTGTGGTTCTCTATACCAGTAGTAATGTTTTTAGGAACTTACATTAATAGGGACTTAACTAGTCTATTTATTTGGCCCTCTTTATCAGCCCTACAGACTTCTGTTTCTCTCCCTTTTCCTGTGGTCCCAGATCTTGTATTTTAACAGCAAGTTGTTTGGAGCAATGCACTCACACTCTAAATAGAGGGAGATCCTGGTTCCTATGGGGGCATGCATGCACCATTGCAGATCACGTGTAGGAAACCAGCAAGATGAGGGATACTGTGTAGACTTCCAGTGCTAACGGGGAACTCTCGGCCGGGGACACCAGGAGGCAAGTTTCCCTCGGTGTTAGACAACCCGAATGCTCTAAATTTCAGGACAGACTGTCAGATATAATTAACTTTACAGGCCTGTGGCTTCCATATCAGCGGGTGTAATGAAGCCTGGGCTCTAGAAAGGGCCAGCAACTGCAGCATCAAGGCAACACCAGCCTTCTCGCACATCGACCTGCACCTCGAGTCCTCCTGGATCCGCTTCTGCCACAGGCCCCAGAGCAGCAGTGACCTCCTGGCCGCTGAGAAGGGCTGCAAGGAGAATTCCTGTCAGCCAGAGGCCGCCTCTGCTCGCGGCTTGGCTGAGGCGACAGCGAGGGCACGGGCTCGAGACTAGAAAGCGGCCTCTGCAGAGCCAGGCCAGGGCTCACAGAAAGGCCACATTTCTCAGAGATTCAATAATCAGTGGTTTTGTGATGTGAACTGTGGTTCCCTCAGGAACCAGGACTGATCCACCAAACTTGGTCATATCTAGGGTTCTACTTACACTGATCAGGTTTTAGTCCTTTAATGGTAACGAAACAACACTTTTTTCCAGCCACTGTGTTATTTCCTTTTCTCTTTACCTATTGTTTTGTAGAAAAGATTTTTTTGTTCAGCCATACCACTTAGAGGTCTGGATTTTTTTTTTTTTTATCAAATGACAAGGCATTTCAAAACCCCAACAGGTCTGTGGCAAAGTAACATGGTAAAAACGTGAACTGTTTAGCATAATAAGACATGATCTCACATTCTGCGTTTAACAAAATATCCTGAAACCAGATACTTATGCAAATGTTAAACTTCTTTTCTCCCCATTACATCTTAAGCAATTCACCAAGCATTTTTTTTTTAAAGTTCCTGTCACAGAAGAAGAAAACATGGTCAGGGTGAGGCAATTTCTCTTTAAAGTGTGAAATTAAATTTGTGAATAATAATACGATTTTGCAATGGGAATTCTGAGAGGGTGTCAGCAGGAGGGTTTGTCCTAACAAGCATTCAATGGAGAAAAGCAATTCAGATCACTGAAACGTGAGAGACTAACCCAAAATGACAGAGGTCTACACTAGAAACCTAGTTATTTAACTTCCTAGCACTATGACTAATCACAGTAGTGTGGTCCAGTGCTCAGCATAAACTGCATGTCCCTCCATGCCAAGTTCACAGAGGCCGTGAAAGCAGGACAGCCCTTAGGCTCAGTCCCAGCATGGAGCAAGGGCCTCCCCAGCAGTGGTGTGGAGCACATTGGGGACGGGAACGCACTCATTCCGCAGGGCCCTTGGCTGTCGCGTCGTGAGCAAGGGAGGGAGCGGGGATCCTTGCTGGGGCTGCGTCCCCATCCTGCTGCGTGAGCTGTGCGATATCTATGGACTCGAAACACAAGGTCCAAAGTGTGATCCGCAAGGAGACAGGGTGCAATCCGCAGCCTTTCAAGGGGGCACGCGCTGCGCTCACCTCAGGCTGCCCAAGCTGCCGGGAGAGGGAGGACTTCAGGAGGATCCACAGGGAGATACGCTGGGCTTTACTGGAAAAGCAGCCATCACAGCGGGAAGCTTTTAAGGAGAAACAAGGTTAAAAAGAAGGAGCATCTGGTAGGGAACCCTGCAAAAGACCCATCCAGGAAACAGAGTGGATAGGACTGGGGGGACAGCGTTTGCCAGAGCAGTCTCTTTTCTGCGGCACTTCTTACTCTATGCAAGACACTGTGGCTACCAGGGGCAGGGAGAGCTGCATTTATATGGCAGTGCTTTGCAAATGTTTACTAGGTAGTTGCACCATCAATATGCAGTCTCTGCTATCAAGAGAAGACGTTATGCTTGATGAGGCTTGAATTCATCATTTGTTTAACTGCAAGAATATACACGGGACAAATAATTTGGTTACTATTCTAGATACAAAAATGTCATGTAATTTCATGCCATAAATCTCATTGTTATTCTGGTATGTGATGTTGCAATGCCATTTATTTAATATTAAATTTAACATTAAAATTGATTTAAGCTTGTCTAACCAGTAATATGACAATATGACCCTGACTTGCTATTTGGATGCGCATTTTGTTTTCCCATAGTCTTGTTTTTATTTATCTCCATTTTTGTTTTGAATGCTGGCTATGAATCTGTCATTAGAGAAAATTGTTGCACCATCTAAATAAGGAAGCAGTAAATTTGCTTATATAATTATGCATTTATGTGGTTTCAAAATCAAATATTTATCCTGTATGTTTGGACTGGGCAGGCTACCATTTAAGAACTAATGTTATTAGTTCTTCTAGATCACAGTTCAAAAGTAGGTCTCTTCAATCTGCTAGGCCTATATGCATAAATGAAGGTGTGCCTTCTAAAGGGGAAAAAAATAAATAGTGACCTTCAGTATAACTTCATATTTATAAGATTTTTTAGCCAGCAATTTATGGACGTGCCATCTTGTCACTTAAAACAGCAAGACAGATTTCAGACCTTGCATGATTTTTAAGAGGCCAGTGGGTGAAAGCTGTTCCAGTGAGACTGGAAATGAGGAAGGTGCTTTAAGCAGAGGTAGTCATAATCAAAGCTCCTGTGATGTTTTTCATCTGTTGAGCTCAAGAAACGTAGACAGAAGAGTCTGTAGGTAGGGGAAGCGTACGTACAGGTGTGCAAGTCATTAGCTACACATCTAGGTAGACGTCTTTTGGAAGCACAGAAACCCAAAGAGGCTGGGTTCATTCAATTCATTGAATTCAGGTTCCATTGCTGATCTGAAAAGACGAGGCCTTTGCAATTGTAGGTTTTTTTTTTTTTTTTTGGAGGGGACAGCAGTTTCGAACATCAAAAGCAGGAGCATGAAAACAAGGCAGGGAGTTGGGGGTGGAGGGAAGCCCTCCCGGGAAGGCCGTCCCGCACGGACCGAGCGCGTGGCGCGAGGCAGAGACCGGCTGTGCGTGCGGCGTCCCGACGGCTGCGCGCACTGAACGCTGCGGCGGGCAGCGCTGCCCGCGCCGGCGCCCGAGCTGCTCTGCTGGACGAGCACCTTTCCTCCCCCAATTCTTACAGCAGAATCGATGGCAGTTTCAGATTGAATATAGATTTTCCATCTGCTGAATAGTTGTTTTTGTTCATGCTGTTTGAGGTTAACAATGCACGTACTAATCAAACCCACTACTTCCTTTCTCGTAAAACCAAAACAAAGCTTCATATTACTTTCAGGGACAGCATCTGGGATCAGAGCTATATATACACACACTGATTCTGTGTGGGTTCAAACATTTCGAAGATTCAGTACCCTGAAAGGTGTCGCCTTCTTTCCAGTCCTCCTGAGACTCCCAGTTTGGCTCCGAGTCTGAAGGCACCGGCCGCCCTCACCCTGGCAGCGCCTGTCCCAGCGCAGTAATGCTCTCACTGTTGCTCACCGTGGCCTTCCTCTGCACAGCCGCTGCCGTCGCCGAAGGTGGGTAGATGGAGGAGCAAGGGAGCTAGCGGGGGATGCCTACATTTTCTCAGTTTCACCTCTTTGCAGGACAGGGCCTGCCAGGAGAGGGACAGCAGGGAGAGGGAGGTGACACAGGACCTCCCCACAGGAGCCTTGGGGCACTGCAAGGCATCTGGAAAGCCGGACACTTGAGAGCAGCAGCATCTCTAGAGATGCTGGGCAGGATTCAGAGAACCTCAAGAAGGAGAAAAGGTTTTGCCAGATCAGGCCTTGTGAGTGGAGCTGTAGGGAGCGGATAATGTGGGGACAGAGGCTGGAGTGCAAGGAGAGATTCTGTTCCCCTCCCTCCCCGCCTCTTGCACTGCAGAACTACAGAAAAGCCCTGCCTAAATACACACTGGTACCAAATGGAATTGAACAAATAATATTGAATCCTCACAGCTTACTAAGGCAGAGGCCACTGCCTTCTCGTGGTGTAGTGATACAGGGAACAGCAGCTGCAACGAGCAGCCAGCGATGTCCATGGTAGGCTGGTGTTCCCTTAAGGTTTGTAACTGCATTTTGGCACCATGTTTTGCAGGCTCTGCTGTGTTGCTGGACCGTGCTTGAGAATTTCTCTGTACTTGTCTGGGAATTGGTAGTTGAAAATAAGGAGCAAAATGATCAGAAACGAAAACATACACACAGGTTTTCCGTTCAGTGTTACTGGTACCCTGGTGCTCCTGTTGCATATTCCTGACAAACTGTTCATTTTTTTGTATGTCAGCATGTTCATTTCCAGCAAGTAGGAACTGTGGTTTTAATTTCTAATTTAAAAATTCAAATTTCAGCCTTACGTCAGAAGCATCTAAGGTCTATTTTTTCTTTCTTTCTTACGTGTATGCATATATACATATATATATTAAAAAGTTATATTTTGTTTTTCCAAGCTTCACTGAAGCACACAGACTATTGCTGCAGTCCATGGACCACACCACCTACTATTTAAGCGAAAAAAAAGGATTGCTGAGGTTTATAATATTTTTCACTGTAATGAAAGTAATTCTTTGTATTTTTTTCAGTATATTATTGCAGTCGCGATGTGAACTGAAGTCCTAGATTTTTTTTTGGAAGGATTTAGCAGCATTTCTAGGAATTACCCATGGATGACGGGAGGCGATAGGACTTCTTTCTTATTGCATAGATTTCAAGTAATGTTCACACATGCCTGCAGAGCGTTCCCTCACAGCTCACTTGCCATCATGCTCTGTGCTTCCCTGCAGTGATGGAAGTCACTCAGCCAGCGATGGTGCTGGCCAACAGACAGGGAGTTGCCAGCTTGGTCTGCAAGTACAAGCACATTGGGAATGCAAAGGAGATTCGAGTGACTCTGCTTAAACAGACGGGCGACCGCTTCACCGAGATCTGCGCTTCAACCTACACCATGGAGTTGAAAATGTTCAGCGTGGAGGAGGTCATGCAGTGCCACGTTAGCCCCAGCCGAAACAACGTGACCCTCACCCTCACGGGCCTGCAAGCCAACGACACCGGCCTTTACATCTGCAAGATGGAGCGGATGTACCCTCCACCCTACTTCATGAACACGGGCAACGGGACGCACCTCTATGTCATTGGTAAGCCAAGTGCTTTACCCTGTTGTGCAAGGCCCAGATTAAGGGAGCTCTTATTAGACTTCAATGTCCTATCTGTAAGAAGCAAGGATGAACGCTGAATCGGGCTTTGAGACCCCGGACTAGCTCTTACTTCTTTACGATGTGCCGGTAGTCACCTCAAGTAGGTACATTTACAGCCTTGGGATGCATTTATAGTTGCATGGATGTTGGCGGTGCCAGCAACACCACACAGTGCATATGTATGTCCAGGCAGTCACCTACGTAAGTGCAGCTATAGCAAAGGGTGAGCTGTACACTACCCTAATGATGAGGCCCACTTTCCCTGGAGGCTGAGTGGTCAGAGGCTCGGAGCTCAAAACCGGTAGTATCCTAAGGAAGCTTATTCCAGACAAGAGCAGCATAGAGGCTGGATCATGGGATGTAGGGGCTTTCTTATGAGACTAATGTACGATACCATTTCTGTGATGTTTTAGATCCAGAACCTTGTCCAGACACTGCCATATATCTCTGGGGATTAGGAGCAACCGCCTCAGGATTCTTTCTTTACAGTATCATCATCTCAGCTGTCATCGTGGGCAAAGCGGTAAGTCCCACCGGATGAGCCCCATCCCATTTAATCCCCTTGGTGTCAAACCCCTCCCTATGGCAAGCAGGGAGAAATAAGAACAGGGAGGGCTGTCGGGACCAACCCGCTGGTTGGCTCTGGTTGTCCTGCGCTGCCAGAGCACCAGAGAGCAACTGAATTTATAGAGTCCTCCTCTTGTGACCGCTCTCCTCACACTCGAGATGGCTGCACACGGAGAGGGCCATCCACATGCAGGGCTGGGGTGCCCCTGCAGCGGGGGGCCGCAGTGCTCGCAGTCTGCTAGAAACAACCCCAGTGCCCGAGCTGAGAACCAAAGAGCTTCAAAGTGCTGTGGGCTGGCAGGGCTGTCTTATCCCGAATGCCCCCTGTAATCCCTGACACTCCCTCCAGCCTTCTGACGGGATCCTCTACAAAGACAGGGGATGGGGAAGGTGACTAGGAAACCTCCTACTCAGTAAAGGCAGCAGGACACTCAGCACTTTTCTCTGAAAGGTGCCAGACCTTATTATGCTGCGATCTCTGGCTTATGTTACTTTCTTCCCTTATTTTATAGATACAGAGAAGGCGGCGGCTCACTACTGGGGTTTATGTGAAAATGCCTCCGGAAACGACAGAGAAAAAGGTGATTCCGTTCCATATCACCGTTAACTGAAACACGGAGAGAGGGAGAAAGAGCAAGTCCATTTCCTAGCTGGAGTGGACAGTCTGCTAATGGACTTAAGCTAAAGAAATAAACTTAATTTTCTTATTACAAAGGTGTATAGGAAGGAGAGAGAGTATTCTTTGTAACTTCTATGGTTTGGAGGAGAATAAATAGTTTATGCATTAATATTTCAAGGTTAGCTCTGTCACATAAAAATGGCCACACCGGGCCATTGATTCTCTGAGTTGTATTGTAACAATATGTAGTCTATATGTATATATGTATATGTATAGCATTAAGACCTATTGCTGTTGCAGCTGAACATGTTATTGTCACATTCCACCTTGCCTACGGACCAGAAAGCCAAACACTATTGAGACCGAGGCTCGGGGGTCATTGCAAGGCCAGGCCCATGGGCAGGGGCCGCGGCGGCGGCGCGCGCTGCTGCCCCGAGCCGCTGCCGGGGGCCTTGCGTTTTACAAATGCTAAATTAGCATCTATCCAAAAGGCACAAGTCTGATGCTGTGTTTAACTGAGTCTGTTTTCCGTGAAAATACTGATGCTGTATAATCTTGTTTATTAGTTGTGTACCATTCAATAAAAACCTTGAAGCTTTGCCCAAATTCAAGTTTATTTCTTATTCACCGCTCTCAGAAGAGGCAGGAAGTGGCTACATGTTAGAAAGCAGTGATGACAAGATGAACCTTCACCCCCTGGCCCTGCTTTCTGCCCTTGAGAGGAGCCGGCTTGCTCGTGCCACGAGCTCCTCCCGCCGCTCTCCTCCTCGGAGGCACCATTAAAACCAGGAGAGACCCTGTTTGTCCAGCGAGAGCTGCGTGAGGTCCTTCAGAGGTGCCACCAGTTGCCTTTCCAGCAGAGTCACTCGCAGAAGGTGCCCGTAACCATTTTGGCTGCCTCTCCTGTACGTGTTTATATGAAAAGCTAGCCCTAGTTTCAAATCCTGTTTTCTTGGTACCTCTTTGACACTCTCACTCACTAAACGGTAGCTGACACACAAAGCTCCTGGAGCTTAAAACTTACTCTCCTGCTATCTACTGTTTGGGCTCTTCACCACCAAAATTTCAGCTTGCAGCCAAGACATCCCGCAGCACCTAGCACCGTTCCACAGCTGCAGATGCATCTTCATGGGCCCAGGGCCTCACACCACGTTCCTGAGGGACATCAGCACCCAGGACAGCCAGGCTCCTGGCTCTCTTCTCACCACAGAGTTAAGTCACTCAGGTATGCTGAACCTCATGGCTAAATCATGAATCACGTTTTTCCTCATTTTTCCCTTCCTGGACAATTCCCACACACTGAGTGTGAGAGCTGCCTTTCCTCAGGCAATCAACACTGAGCTCAGGTAAATGATTTCCAAAGCTTGTCCCTGTCTGGTGAAGAGAAGTTTTGGACCTGTGTCTACAATCTCATGACCTATGGCCACAGCTGGCAGTGAATCCGTGTCAGTGCAGGACTACCGCATACTCCAATTCACCTTTAGTTCCAGCAGGAAAGCTGAGACTCACTAGGCCTCCTGCATCTGCCTCGACTAATCCCTCTCTGGACACCAGCATTTCTTTGAGACACGCAGCCTGTCATGATCTTACTGCAGTCTCTTCTAGCAAGTGGGTCAGCAGAGCAGGTTTTCCTAAGCAGCAGCACTTCATGTTTGTTCCTTTTGCACTTAAAGAATTCCTGGCAAACTGTTTATTAATTATCCTGTTGGAAATGCCTTTGCCCAAATTCTGTGGCTGTTCTGAAGCTCTGTAGTCAGAAACCTTCCACCCAGCTTTTCCCGTCTTGCTCATATTGCTGTGATACTGAATTTTCCCTAGCTTTCCTCACAACTGTGCCAGTATTCCCAGAGATAAATATGACAGAAGAACATACTCCTCTTGTTCTAAGCTGGCTCTGCTTTTGAGTCTTCTAGCAGTACACTCAAATCAGCTGATGTAGCCATGAAGACCAAAGTGAGTTTTCAGTTCAGACTTTATTGACAATGATACTTGTAATATTTATACCTGACACTATAGAGATGAATGCAGCCTAAGAGTCTACAGAGATATCTATGCTTAGCTCCATATAGGTTCATATAGGAGCTATTTCTGAACAGACAGAGTGCAGACCTCAAGAAATTTCCATTCCCCTGATGCCCTGTGATGCCCTCCAGGACCTTGAGCCCTCTGCTTTTTCCTCATGCATCTTACCATGACCATCCCACAGAAGAACTGACAAATGCAACTTGGATATGACTTTCTGTCAAATCACAGAAGTACTAATATATGAAAAATACACACTGTAGGTCAGCATACTTCCTAGAAAACACAGTGACGTGGGAAATTATGACTCTTTCTGGGAAGAATGTGAAAAGCAGAGACTAAAGGAATTGGTCTCAGAGGTGTGCTCATCAGAATGGGGAGTTTAAAAACATAACCAAGTATCTTACCTGAACTGCTAAACAATGAGGAAGAGCTGCTTGGCCAGGTGCAGGAGAAGGCTGTTTTCAGGTGCCTTTTAGCAGCCAGGAGACACGTCAGCCTATATGGGAAAGAGAGACAGTGAGGTCCTGGTGGCAGCTGAGCGGACATTCAGGATACACTTCTCTGCACACACATACACACACACACACACACACACACACACACAGATTCTACTTTCATTTTCATCTGCTCTTGTATCTGCTAAGTTGTTCTCTTTGCCATTTCCAATTATCAGAGTCGTGGGTGGTACAGAAAACCATTTGACATGAGCCTCCCACCTGGCTACCCTGTGAGCAGGCAATAAATGGTCCATGGTTTTGGCTTTAGAGACAGTGCAGTGAAATAGCCAGAATTTGAGGCTATTGCTATGTCAGGCACC